CTCGTAATCAGGGCATACAACATGTTTCCCAATCGCCCACGAAATAACTGTATTCACTTAATGCTGGAATAATCCCAAGTAGTCCTACTACAGTTAAAGTTGGAGGAGGGGCAGAGAAACGAAAAATAGAAGAAGGGAGGGGGATACACAGGTTAAAGCTGGGCCCTGCTGGCACTCCACAGCCATGAACCCTCCGCAGAAACCAACTTTACTCCTAAAGTGGCTCAGTCAGTCATCGTGGCGGGTAGTGGAGTAGAGGGGGGAGTGGGATTTAGGCATGAGGAACAGTCAGCAAAAAGAGCTAAGAATGTAGTGACCACTGGTGGACACACAACAAGGTAGTAGGCTAAAAGTCCATGAGTGCTAATCAGATCTCAGCGCAAAGATCAGCCCCTAGTAGGATCTTACCCTTTTGTCCCCCAAGCCATAAAGACTTGGCTTAAAAACTTCTAGAGAAGAAAAGCGAGTGGAGGGAATTTGCAGTATCTGTGTAGAAGGCATGACCCATTTATTCATTATGTATTCAAGTTCATTCCTTGGCCAATTCGGAAAAACGTTCTCACTCCAAAAAGAGGAAGAGGTAAGCCAGCACCGAGTCAGTTTGCAATTTGTTGTTTAAAGATAACTGGCCGCTGAGCACAGAGAGCAGGATGTCATTGTGCTTGTAATCCCAGCGTTTCCGAAGTAGCCTAGGACAGGGCTTACATTCCAGAAACAGTGACATAAATTATTAGCTAGTTTTTCCCTTGCAAAAGCTACTCTCCAGCAATCGCTTTGTTGATTTAGAAGCTACACGAATCTTTTCAGATTTCCAAGGCAACAATGAGGAGGTTAGAACACACGTCTGTAATTTAAAAAGGGAAAATGTAACCTAGTACAAAAAGCCCAGAGGTGCATTAGTCCCAGCTTCCCACCTATGTACCCTTGCACAAGCCTTTCCGGAAACAAGTTCTTTCCCGCTATCTTATCTTTCTCTGTTCTGTCGGTACCACCCAGCACAGAAATGCTGTCCAAACGTTCTTTTCTATTCCATCATTTCTAGTAAATCCATCGGGTGGGTGTCTGGAAAGGTAGAAGGGCAGAGTAGAAAAGACAAGATAGAAATATCCTAGTGGTGGAGTCCAGAGCACAGAACTGCCTCCCCTACACCTGAGTGGAGACTCTCAGAAGGGGGAAGACACACTTCTATAAAAGGCTCACAGGAGGAGATTTGGGGTAGAGTATTTTCCTAAAATTAGAGTCCGTGGGTCTCTAGATGCTGGTTCTGACCCTAGGGACCCTCGAAGGGACACTCAGATAAGGTTAGCAAGAAGTAGCCCAGAGCGGCGGAAGAAGGTTCTGCTCTGGCTTTGCTGGGTGCAAACAGGCAGGATTCTTGCCCCAGTTCCCGCCCCCGCCCCCCTTGGCATGGCCCTGGCCACCCACGTAATTCCCTCCTCCCACTTCAAAACGCAGTGATCACGGGGAGGCGCAATTCTGTCCAAAGAAGCAGGTTTGGCAGAGCCCAAACCCCTCTGCTCAGGTAACTGAAGCCAAAGGGACATTTCTACATCAGTTTCCCAAAAAGCGAGAGAACAAACAAACCGAAAGCTATAAAGAAGGCAGTTCTGTGTACTAGATTTCTCAATGTTTCAGAGCTAGTAGCACACTCACTCCTGCCCTTCTGCACATTTCCAGTTACTGGCTGGAAAGGATCCCACTTCACAATCATTGCCAGTCCACAGGCCACTCTCACTGGCACCAGCCCCGTCGCTGGGCTCCCTGCCCCCAGTCTTACCCCACTCCCATCCATTTACCGCAGAGCAACCAACGTTATGCACAACACCAAATACATGAAAATGCCACTCCCCCCCTTAAAACCACCATCTGAGGATCAAGTTCAATCCTCACTGTGGTTTACCTGGTGTCCTCTCTCGACACTCCCACCTCCTGATGCCTGGAGAACTCCTTACAGGCTCTGCCTGGACCACTCTCTCTCCTGTCCCTGGGACTTCCTGGTATGACCCTGGTCCTAGCTTAGGTCTCCACTTAGCTGTCACTGGGTCACATTTCCTGGTCACCTCCCGGAAACTGACACCGGTGCTCTGCGGACAGCCTGCTTTCCATTGCTGCGTGTCTCCCACATTCTGAGTGCCAGCAGCGGCCACTCCTGTCCCTAGTAAGGAAAATAGTACCTGGTACGTAGTAGGCACTTGGGGACTGCCTGCTTAATTAATTAATTAAGAGATGGACATGAGAAATAGGGCTTCAGACTCTAAGGGTGGTGGCATGTCTGGGCCTGCAGTAACCGATTTCTCAAGCTTGATTAACTAGCTCAGGCAAAGTGTCCCCAGGGAGG